AGTGAAAAAACGATAAAAATTCTTTCACGGAAATCCTCTATATTTCAATTTCTTTCTCTTTCAATATATGAAACATACATTATCTTCTCTTTATCGTTTCGATACTTCACAATTCCTGAATGTTAATATGATTACGGAATTTTATAAATATCTATTATATGATTATAGAAAGATTAACAATTTTCTAAAATACTTACAAAACTTAAAGGATTATAACTAAATACTAAATATTAATTAAATATTAACTAAATACAGATTGTTATTATACAAAATCGTAAATAATGATCTATTATTTTATTATTTGCAATTGTATTATTGGCAATTCTTTTCCATAAATAATTTTACCTTTTCTAGAAAAAATTTACATACGGAAGAAATAATCATCTTGATAATATACATAATAGCTTTAAGAGATTACAAACAAAGAAATTTTTGAACTTTAAAATTAGAAAACTAATAAATAATTTTATTTGTTAATATATAGACTTTAATCTTTCGAATCATCCCTATGGAATTCAAAATCCTTGAAATGACAATAATCATAGTTCGAAGGAAAATTGCAACATATCTAAACGTTGCGTTCTTAAAACAGCAACGTTCATTACAAATGCAACAACTATGGGATTTAATTGCGAGAAATGCGGTGAAGGTTGCAAGAACATTCTGAACAACTTTTCTCAGAGAGTGACATACACATATATTTATATGCATACGTTTCTACCTTCAATGAGTTTCTTATAGAACCAATGACAATAGAAATAACGGTTACTTGTTTTGTGAGAAGAAACACCGGATACTAGAGGATCCGCTTTTTCTTCTAACTGGTGTAATAGTACAGACACGCTCTAAAAAATATAATCTCTCTCATTCAGCATATAGTTTTTCGATCATTATATTATTTCTATTTTCTTAATATTCATCATTTCCAATTCGTTTTTTCCGAGTTAATCCTTTTATAATCATGATTATTTTTTGGATGTTTCAGACAAAATGTTTGCTATGAATACGGATTAAGTTGAATTTTTGCATTTATTATCAAATTCAATTAATCTATTCCGTTCTGTCTTGAATTATGAAAAATATTTTGTTTAATACTTTCAAAATAAAGTAATCTTGTAAACAAATATTCTTCAATAAACATACAAACATTGTATATTACAATTAACATGATTAAAATTAAATATGACATATCCATTGTTGTAAATAAGAATCAAACAATATATATATATATATATATATGTATAAATGACATGGTAGGTATGAATAATGGCGGAAGAATTTTTATCATCCGAGGTAACGAATCAGTGGCATCGATCGATAACGCATAAACCATTCAGTTCAACGAATTCTAAAGAAATAAACCTTCAGGCGATAGTTTAGAAAGGTGACTTTCATCGATACACTATATAACTTTTATTGGACATGTTTCTGCACACCTGCCTTCGAGTATTACGTGACATATATCCTAGAGGCAGGATGCGTTTGCTCTATCAAGGATAAAACATATTTCGAAATCTATTCATAACTATTTTTCTTCGTCATCGAGATTGTAAAAGAAATATCATCTTATATCGTATCCACATTGATTAGAAATTATTTATAAACTCTTAAAAAGTTTTTAGAACTTGTGAACAATTTACAAGTAATTATAACATTATAGGTTAATTATCCACATTTTAATATCGTAAAATTAACCTTGTTTAAAAAGAACCTGCGAATCTATGATTATTTTTGATACAGTCTTAAATCATAATAAAATTAAATAATAAAAATTAAATAAAATAAATAAAATAAAATTAAATTAAATAAATAAGTTTAGATTTGATATAGATCAGTTAAATCTTTTGTCTCAGTTGCTATGTTCTAAAACAATTGAAACTTAATATATATATTAATTTCATTTTACATTCATATTTGTTCTTATAAATAATAATTAATTGTTTGAGTAAATCATAGAATAAATAATTTATTAAATATTTCTTAGATTATGATTATATTTTTATTAATGAAAGTTATATAAAAAATAAAATGTAATAGCAATGGAATTTATATGCTAAATAAAAATTCTAATACATGAAACTTATGATTCTTAATAGTATTTTAATGAGATTCAATACAAACATTTTTATGACAAAAGTAAAAATACTTACTGATTAATTAATAAAATTTGTATTAAATTATATTTTATATAATATATAACATATATATATATATATGTTATATGAAAATTTAAAGAACATTTTATATTATATTATATTATGTATATGTATATATATATATATATGTTATATAAAAATTTAAAGAACATTTTGCTTTATTAATGCTTTATTATTTTTGAACAAGTAAGATTTAATATATATTATATTGAATGTTTTGTAATTAAGTTTCATGTAAATTAAATCTTTTATTATTTAACTTTTTCTCTAATATATATTCTAAATAAAATATTTAAAATTTAAATGAATTACTTAATTATATTATTAATTTATTCAATAAAATTAAAAAAAGAAATATTTATTACAATAACTTATAAACTTTCATATAAAAAGGACACATGTTCCAATAAGGTTAGAAAATTGATTTGCTGTTATTATTTCTATTTTATATTTATAATACTATCATAATGATGAATTATGTAAGAAAGCTTAACTTAAAACTTACGCTTTATTTATTATATACGTATCACATAACATATATATAATATTAGATTTTTTTTTATATTTATCAAATGTTTATATAATGATGAAACGAATAAAAAAAATTCAATACTCACCTTTGCGACGAGTTGTTGACCAGAATGTACATCGACGCATCGGTATAGAGCGCTCCCCTCGGCTGGTCCAAGAAGTAGGTACCGATCGCCAAGTATGGTGGGTCCATGATGATCGGTAGGCAATGGTTCATAACTAGGGAAGACAACTGCTGGCACCGAGTTCGTCTCGTCATTCGTCGGCTGTTGACTGATGTCCTGATTATTGTTCGGGCAGACCAGGAACTTTCCATTGTTGGTTCGAGCCACTTGTAGATGAATAGAATGCTGTCTGACAGCGGCTGTCACTCTCATATTGTGCTGTTTTCACACACGCACCGTTTTACACTCGCGACACTATTGCCTCCCTGGTATCTTCTTTCTTAAAAAATCGTTTATTTTAACAAAACGAAGCACGTATTTTTTATTGAAGTTCAATCGAATTTTATAATTATTCGTAATTATTGTCAGTGGACCGTTAAAGCAGAAAAGCCTTTTGAACACACTTCACGTCACAAGATTACCGAACCGGGTAGTTGCGACAATTATCGATTATAACGGACCGATTTTAACGCTTTTAAGCTCTATCGGTATAAACGCGTGTATAGCTACAAATTAATTATTAGATAAGAATATCACTTGTGCTTGGGCCCATGCAGCGTTTCTTCGTGCTACAGCTGGGTCCTTGGACGGAGATCTTCGTGGGTGACAATTGGTCACTTTTAACGAAAAAGCTCTGTAACAAATAAAAATGAAATTGTTTTATACGCAATATAATATTTAAAATCCGAATAAAATATAAAACAGATAATTCATCAATAAATCTTTAATTTGCATAAATTTAAGAATATAAAATTATACATTGTTAACTAAGTCAAATTATATGTATTCATAATAGGGTTTGAACGACAAGGATTTCGTTCATTACCTCTATGTGATTCACGGACAATTTCAAAAGACGTTTCGACACTCGTCCTGCCTTGTGCGCAATTTCTATAGAGAAGGGGACCACTGTAAGGTCAGGGATATCGCTGTAAGGCGGTCGTTGCGCTGTAATGTTCTATCCAACCAAAGAAGTCGAGTCACAGAAAAATTATAAAACGTGATGCAAGAAAATCTTGAGGGCATTATTAATGTTGTTAATAGTATAACGAATTTTTATGAATTCCCCTTTTCTCTGAATTTACACCTTGTTATACAGAATAAATTTGCATATCACTTATTTTCATTCATATTATATATATTTCGATAATTATTATTTCAATATCATATCAATTTTTTAGATCGTTATATAGATCGTGTTTTTTTGATAGCTTAGGTTATGTGATCTCTTCTGAACACAATATGTCGGAAATATGCATACAATTTTATTGCAAAAAATTATAAAATAATTGTAAAATACGTTTTCACAAATAATTGTAATTTCAAAAAGTAACCTTTTATATCCAATTTTCATTTATGATTATTAAAATTCGATATATAATTTCAATATAATTCTTGATTATGAATTATATAGTTTGAAATTAAAAACGAATTAGAAAAATTATGTATTTATGTTTGTTTCTTAGGATATTATCAGTTTCGTTTTAATTTTAATTTAAAAACATTTTCAGATAGTATTAATAAATCAAGTAGCCAATCTTAAAAAAAGAAAAAATCTATACCGGTAATCAGAAATTCGAATTTTAGAACTTACTCGATCATTCGATTTTAACATTGTGAATTCCGACTATCGATATTCGCGAAATCGCGTCATTACGATATCGCACTTGCGCAAAACTCTTACCGTTCCAAAGATCAGGGATGCGAATACGAGAGTAAGTACACGTTTCGCCCCCTAGTTTTTTCTTTAGAAAATTGTCAACCGCGATTTTTATTCATTTTTCTGTTCAATAATTTTTTTTTATTACAATTAAATTTTATTTTAAAACAATTTTTGATTGATTTCTATATTTTTTGATATAATACTTCATGTATAACATCCAAAAATGTATCGAGTTTAATAAAAAATTTTTAATGCAAACCTAACCTAACTTAACTGAATTAACTAAACTTAGCTGTAATTACATTTATAGTTCTATTTAATAAATATTATTTTTTTTTGAAAATTTTCTATAATAAAAAAAGTTAAAATTTTTTAAATTTTATTATTCAAATACTCTCAAAAAATATAAGAATTGATTAAAATATATATTTTTGAAATAAGTTAAACTAATAATTTTCTATTTTCGATTATTCGAACATTTGGAATTGAAAAATCAGTAATGTAACGAAAGATGATGGGGCCCTGTGCTGGAACTTGTAAATGTCTCCCATGTTCAAGTTTATTGAATGAACGAAAATCTGACGAAATAGCGAGTTCGATATTAGTAAAGGATTGCGTCCACACGGTAGCGCGTGTCGAAACGCATGTATATGTTCGCACATACACTATCAAAGCAGATAGCAGATATCCTTCGGTAAGGTCAAAATGGCGGAGTTCCACAGTTGTCACGGCGATATTGCGGGCACCGGTTGCATTAATAGCGCGCGAGAACGTGACGCAATACCGCGAAATAAATTGCCTAATACGTCCGCTCACGTATGTCTATGACTTTACATGGATGGATTATACCGGCGTTTATGATTTTCGACATAAAAGGAAAAAAGTAAATGGCAACAAATTGTAGCTTTTCATCATTTTTTTTGGTGAAATTAAGAAAATTTGTTCGAATATCAAAATATTAAACCAAACATTAAGAAATTTTTACGATAATTTTCAAGATAAACGAATACCAATAGATATTGATTATTAATTTCAACAAATAAAAGATCCGATAGAAAAGCTAGCAAGGAGTGTACACTAATATCAGAGCAAGCGCACCGAAGTAAATATACGATAGAACGAAGAAACTGACATCGATCCAGTACGCGTCGGTAATAATCACTGCACTTTGCACTGTTCTCACGCGAAACTGATACGCAAAATATATGCATCCGCGCACTCACTTCATAATGATTTTTCTTTTTTCTGTCTAAATAACCTTATTTGAGTCTAAAACAGCAGATGAACACATGTTACCTTTGTATGTTCTTCCTGTTGTCGCCGTACGTTCCTGAACGGGAGGCTGGGATGAAGAAACAGTCAGATGTAATTTGAGTTTCTCCCAAAGACGTTGTTGATAAACCGCCGTCTGTTCGAAAAGCGAAGCCCCAGTTTCGATTGGGCGTATTGGTTTTTCGAATAGCGCGCGCTTCGGATAAAACCTGGTCTTCTTCCTGTTGGCTCTACCTAGATAATGTATCGGTAGTAGTGGTTTTTCTGTTCACGGTTCTCGCAATTCGTCTTCCGTCCAGCCGTCGTTGTTATTGTTTCTCTTTCGTCACTCACTACGAGGACTAGATAATTCGAAAGAAACAAAGAAACTTGAAGAGCTGAGCGGTTACGAACGAGGGAAACTGTGCGGTAAGATTTGTATCCCGCGCAACGGACGGTCCAACGTTTTGGGCCGGCCCTCCGCTCAGAAACGACGGCGGCAGCAGAACGAACAAGCACAAACCAATCGTGCCATTGTGCAGCAAACGACTGAAGCTACGGTCGCCGCCTTGGTTTAACCCAACAGAATCGGTAAATACGTTGTGGGGAGTGGGAAATAAACGCGCATGCGTGTTTCACGGATTTTCAGTACCGGCTCAAGAATATCGTATTATATGGTATCCTCGTGTGTTTTTCATGCTTAAAAATGTGATTAAAATTTAAAAGACAAATTACACAAAGAAAAGATTCTTTTGTTTCAAATTTCCTGTGGTAAGATATTTCTTTTTATTCTTAATTATCTAATAATAATATTAAAAAAAATTATATATTCATATATATATATATATATATACATATTCTATACATGACAAAAAGAATTATTTTTTTTTATTATATATATGAAAAGTATATTAATATTTCTTTTTATTTTCTCTGTCAAAAAAATATATTTATTGTAATTTTGAATAAGAATAAGAATATAATTTTTTCGTCATATCAGTCATATGATTTATTATTAATGATTCAGCATTTTAATATCTAAAAAGCATTTTACTTGTAATACGTTCTTGATTTACATTTAATCTACATTAATGATGCAATATACAGAAAAATTACAGATTGTAGAAAGATAAAATTCGGTATTGATAAGTTCCTAAGAAGAATATGTATCAAAAAAAGGGCCTTGAGAGTTAAAGATGCGCTACTGGCCACATCAGTGCGTACGTGGGCATCCGAAACCTCGACACGCGGTTATACATGTAAATTTTTTGTACATTTACAACAAATTATTCGTAACATTAATTACTTCTATATTAACTTATACGCTATATTATGAATTACATGTATATTGAAATTTGTTATTGGAATTTTGCACTTTTTTGAAATGAACTATAACTGAATTATATTATAGAAATAAATAGTATACTTACTGTGTAATAATAATTGTTGAGCAAATATAATATAAGTGATTATTATAAATTCCATATTAAATTCTTTTTTTAATTAAAAAGCAAAATTGATAGATTCTTTCAAGGCGTTGTTTCGAATAAATGATGTGCCCTTGACCTACCTTAACGTTTCTTAGCAACCGCGGGAGGCACGCTTAAACAATCGGTGGCAACTAAGGGCACGTAACCTCACCCACATACATCTGCTATGACCGTGAGAAATCGTATCATCATTACATATATTTTTTGTCACAAAGAAATAGAAGCATGGCGTTGTTCTTGGGTCATTTCTTGAAATACATTCAGTTTTGCGGTTTTTCTCTTTTATAGATGTGAATAAAAGATTTTAAATGTGAAGGTAATCTGATTGAGTAATCATGTTATTTAACAGTTTATATTTTTTTTTACTATAAAGTAAAAAATCTCATTATTCTCGAATAAATATAATTATTTAAATTACTTTAGATAATTTTATTTATTAATTCACTTATTTTTTCTATCTGATCATCGCGTTTTTCTCAAGCAACATTGAAAATTTTTTAAGAATATTTTTATTTCAAAAATTTTTATAGCTAAATAGCAATCATACAGATATTTTTTTTATTTTGTATCAATTTAAAAATATTTTTTTTTAATCAAATTCAATTTAATTTATCGAAAAATTAGATTGAAATAAAAATTAAAAAGAAAAAATAAATTACATATTTATTAATATTAAAAATTTTTTATAATATATATGTAAATATTCAAGATATACAAACTACATAATATTTATGTATTTATGTATATCAATCGACTATTAAAATATTCTGATCCTTTCGCTTAGAAGAAATATGCTGTGTTATAATATCCAGGAAAATATTTATTATAAAATATATTTGCATTTATATATTATATATGTTTGAAAAGATACTATATGGCTTGCATAGATCACGACTGGAGCAAGAGTAGGCCTTCGAATTTCCAAACGAGCTCGGCTTCAGACCGGATATTGGCCAACCTAATGCTTTTTTTTTTTTAACATACTCGATTTTGCTTATACGTATATGTGGGTGCCAATTGCTTTATTTCGTAGCTCGATGATTCAAGCTGACACATGTTGAAAATGATGGTTCGATATGTTCCGAAAAGGACAGATCTTAATGAATATGTTAATTATCTGATAATTTTTTATTAAAGACAATTTAACTTTACGTTCAAACTTTTTTCAATCGTGAAAAGATATCTTTTTTTAATCAATTGAGAGATTGAAAAAAATGATATACATATATTTTTTTCAAAGATGAGACAAGTAAAAAGAATGATACGGTACGATAATATTTGTTTAGAAAATTTTTCTTATTCTTCACGAATAAAAATATTTTAAAAAATAACTTTCATGAAAATGAATATTCTACGAATAAGAAAAATTGAACGAATATATTTGCACTATAAAATAGTGTCGTTACATACATTTTCTCTTATCGATATTTTATATCTTTTCGTTTACGTATCTTCCGATCGAATGCAATTCATTTCGATAAAAACATTGTAAGAGAGTGATAATCATCTTTCGTTCGTCTTTCGTCAGACTTTGTGAATTTTTCCACATGATGATTCAGATTGGACGAGCATTGATTTATATATTTATGTATTAATGAATTGAAAGGCCGTTTTATATTATAATTAAATCCTGATTAAAAATTGGCATTGAATCCTCGAATAATTGGAATTTTGTAAATGAAATAAAACAATCGTAATTATCATCACAATTTTTTAATTTTATCATGAACATAAAAACTATAATAACGATTGTTTGATAGATAGATTGTATCGATATGTATATAATATAATTCTTATATTAATAAAATATAATAATACGATAAGTAATAAACAAATAAAACAAAGTTATAATAAGTGTGTACGTAATTTCCAAGTCACATGGCGTTATAGAGTATTAAAACTTATCGTTAGAAACAGAGAAAGAAATCTGTATTGTTTCGCTGTTAACGTGTCTTATACCACGTATACTGTTTTCGATCTATTCAAGTTTTTAAAAAACTTCTTTTAAAAAACTTCTTTTAAAAAACTTCTTTTAAAAAACTTTTATAAAAATTTGTATATAATGAAATAGAAACGTGATAAAAATAATAATATAAAAAATTTAAATCGAAATTTTGAAACAAAATCGATTCTTCGATCTCTCTTAAATTTTTCTCTGCTAGATACGTTTGATCAGATCATCATCTTCTGTTTAATTTGTTCGACATTCCTTTCGACAAATTAGCATTTCTATTTCACTCGTTTTTTAAAACATATATCACGCGACACGCGACTCTTAATGTAAATTTGGATTTCATCTTTACCAGTTAAAGTGTTAATCACGGTTAATTCCTTTTTCTGAATTTCAAGTGACGGCATCGGTATTTTCTTTTTAATTTCGTTGGATATTGTCATTATGAAATTACACTATTTAAAATGTTTTCAAGGCCATTAAAGAATATTTATCACCAACGAAATTTTGGATTGAAACATTGTTCCTTTTTCGTTCCTATTATTTTCGAGGATCATAATCTTTTGATCTTGAGATGATTTTGATCTCTTTCACGATCTATTTTCGCTCGACACGAGATTTCGATCGTTATCGTTCTCTAATGTTATTCTTGATTTCCGGCTATTTATTTCAAACGTACGTAGTAAACACGCCTTTGCGTTTTCATTCTCTTATCATCATAGTTCCCTTATCTGTTATCTGTTATCGTCACTTTTCCGAAAATATTTCGCGATACATATTGTTTTGTTGGCCAGATTGGTAGAGCGCATGATTTCGTTAATGCCAATTTGAAAGTTGAAAGTCTTATTCCAAGAACAATGATATTATCCCCAATGATGAATCGCGAACGGAAGTGATGATAAAACGGACATTAATTTTGTATCAGACAGACAGATTTTTAAAATAAAACGGATATTAGTGGAAAGCCATTGACCAACATGATTGTGAAAACGCTATATTTGAATCGAACGTACATAACATATAGTATATTCGGCGTCCGACCTTCGCTTCTTGACGATGTATCTTTCCTTTGTTCGTTTTTCTTTTTTCCCTATTTTTATTCTCGATATAATATATCAACTTTGTTAAAAAAATATTCGATAAATATAGTTCATGAAGATTTTACGTTTCTCATTCTCATATTTTTCTAACTATATTTACTTAGATTTCAATTATTTAACATTATTGATGAACAGATGAGAATCGAATAATAAATATCTTGACACAATCGTTCTCGAAATGAAAAACTCCATCTTTTTTTTCAAAGATTAATAATGTTAACCCGGTCGCAGAAGTATATTTGAGATAGATGCGAGGTCATTTTGAAACTGATAATTGTTGACAGATGGAAAAAAATATTAGCCGAGAATACGTGATGCGCGTCATGCCGAAACAATTTTGTGTTTTATCTTCGCTCATTATTGTGTACACGCGTTTTGTCAAAAAATTTTCACTGCGATTCTATTCTATCCAGCTTACTTATTCATTGAAAATTATGATGACTTATTCTTCGAAGACAATAAAGCATGGTATTTACTCGTTCGATGATTCAAAAATTAGTCAAATTTTCTAAAACGGTTTGCGCAAGATGAGATTTCCGGTATCGGATAGGATGTATCTGTCTAGACACAGTTTGTTGCATTTATGATATCTTGGGCCTTCTTGCACGATAATTATTAATAATGATTTGTAAGATTTCAATAATAATTACGTGTGAGTGCCTTTTGTGAGATTTGATTAACATGGAATATTACTATAAGATAGGTAAGAGAAGTTGATAATCGAAGATTTTAAAAGATTTTTGAAATCCATGAATTGAAATAGAATGATAAATATTTATCCGCGTTTGATGTAAAATTGAACTCGCGTTGAATGTTGCTAAAGATATTTTATGAGAAATTGCATTTCGAGAATGATATCATGTACGAATGAATGTATCTTCATTTTTAATTTAAAAAGTTTAGCGAGATAACTAAACTTCACTTATTTTTTCTTCTATTATTTTTAAAGATAAGGAATATATCTAATCTAATGACAAAATAATAGTTTCTTTCTCTTGAATCGCTGCTTGTTATAATTTCAAAAATGGAGAATTTCGCGTCTTTTCGCATATCCCTTTGCAATGGATCGCATAAACGTCCGTTCGATCTACAGCACAAGCATTCTCATGATAAACGAGCCGGACGTACGATTATGTTCACGGCCGAAACTATTTTTGCGGATGCCTCACGAGACGGACCGATGCGGAGGAAAAAGTAATGACGTAGGCAATCGTTGTTAAAAATTGTTAC